TATATTAATAAACATAATAATAATGACAGTAATAATAGTAATAATAAACATAATAATAATATTATTATTAGTAGTAAAACTACACAATCTATATTTTTTCTTTAATAAATTATAAAATTTCAAAAGGATTATTAATCATAAAAATTAAATGAATTGAATGTTTGATCAGTATCACAATAATAACTATGAATATCATCATCTAGTGGACCTGCAATGTCAACGTCCGGAGCAATGAATGATGCTGCACCACAATAAAACAGTTCAGTAGCAATATCAAAATTATTGTTACTATTATTATTAGATGGTTCGAAATGTACACTATCTATGAGATTTGCTTGTGGAATAATGGCAACCAATTCATTTGTGCTAATGTCATTTCCATTATTTATCAATGGTTCATTTTCTATTGGAACAAATAAATCAGCTTCAGAACTGGTCGAAGAAAAACTTTCTAAAAGAAAAGGTGATGGAGATGTGGCAACAACGATTTCGTTATTATCAATTACTTTCCAATTTTCTTTAGCGATTTTTGCCAAAATTCTAAAATAAATTTTCGTTGAATTCGTGTCTTCTAAATTATTCCATACGCCGGCAGCACTACGCGAAATCTTTATCATAGAGAACGTTTCATCCGGATACTTTTTTCTCAAATATTCACCAAAGTTCTTTAGGAATATTATCCACACATTTTGTATTCTTTGTGGGTTTTTTTTTGGTTTATTAGAAAAAGAAACCAAATCGTCTATTGTCATCTTTACGATGTCTGGTGGATTTTCGAGTAATTTTTTTTGCTCTTCTGATAAATTCAATCCTTCAACCAGCAATTTTATATTTGAACACATATTTTTTTATTGATTAGAAATAAATCGATAAAATAATTGTTTAATAGTTGTTATTAAAAGTTATTTTCAGCTTGACAACAAAAAATTTAAGAGGTGTATTTATAAAGAAATACTTATATTCCCACGTTATATTTCGACTAATTAAAAATATCCATTGTGATGGGCTGATAATTAATGAGATAAAGAACTTCTTATTTGAATTTTGTTCTACTATCTTTAAAAAAAAAAAAAAATCATAAATCGGTCACTAATTATTTAATTCAATTGATGTGATTTGTAATTATTTTTATTTGCTTTTTTCAATTTCAAGGAATTCTCTAGGATAAATCTAATTTTAACGATCTCCAAATTCGAACAAACCGGAGTTTTATTAAGAGATGCATATATACAAATAACTTTCAGTTTCTTTTTAGTCACAAATTAAAATAATAATGACGAAATTTATTTTGGTCCCGGTTTGAATTCGTAAACCGGTTTGGGAAATGGGATAATGCAAACCGGTTTGAACCGGTTTGTATGAGCCACACGCCTGCATCAACTATTGGGGTGTATTAGAAGTATAATTGACAAACCTGGGAAAATCAAATAATAAACCTAATGGTGGTGAATGTTGAATATGCGACTGAGACATAACAGAGCCATATTTATCAACGTTCATATTTAAAATGAAATTTTCGTCATAACTTCTAGGTGAAAGGTCTTTAGGAATTAAAAACACTTTAAATTTTTTTTTTTCTAGCTATTCTGCTTCCAAAGTTATAAACTTTTTAAGATTTAGATTGTTAAAATCAATTTATTTATTTAATTAAAGAAAATCGTTTTTGCATACAGATGAGATTTTTTAATTCTAAAAATGTTACATTTCTCTGTAACATAACAGAGTCACATTTATCAACAGATACTTTCCATATTGAAATGCGATTTTCATCATAAATTCTAAATAACTAACAATAAATCATATTAAAAAAAGGCGTTGTTATGTTATATACCAAGTTCCTAGAAATTAAGATCATTTTCAAAAAATTTCCCAATTATTTTGCTTCCAAAGTTATATAAATGTTTTAAGTTTCCGTTTGTTAAAATTAATTAAAGAAAAATCGCTTTTAATAAACTATT